AAATATATGTTTTCCCTTGGATGAATGGCAGAGACTCTTAAAGAACTAAAGGATGCAGGGCTAATAGTCCCCATTTAATTTGCCAGTGTGGTCTGGGCAAAAATCAGGCAGATCTTGATGAATGACACCTGAGTACTGCAAGCCCAACCAAGTGGTGGCGTCAGTCACTACCCCCATGCTAGATGTGGTATCTTTGCTATCTAAATAGGTTAACACATCTTTAAATACACGTTATGTGACCATCATTTTGGCCAATGTATTCTTTTCCATTCTACTCAAGGGGAACCGGAAACTGTTCACATTCACATTAGATGGACAACAATAGATGTTCATGGTCCTTCAGGACCAAGGTACTCACTCCCCCTGCTGTTAAGAGTGTGGATGGCTGATGGCTCTCAGTTGAGTCCCTCCAAGGACTTGCCCTTCCCTGAAGGGAGCTCCCATGGAAAAGTTATGCGCTCTTCCTTGGGGTCAATGCATTTCCAGTGTCGGGTCAATGCAGTAGTATAAGGTTCATCTCATTTACTTTGGTCCAAGACATCTGATGGGCCATCCCTGTAGGATTGGCTAGCTCTCTGCTGCACCTGTTTTGCAGTTCAGCTGCTCCCTTTGCCCAGTCCTGCCTCCCCCACTCCCTTAAAGATGTCGTTCCTGAGACTGACTGCTCCCCAGTGAACCGCCTGTATGCATATCTCTGACTATCTCAGGATCTGCTTCCCGTGAAATCCTTTCCACGCCAAGCACTGGACCACTCCCATGGCACCGACATTCGCTTCCTCCAGTGCTTTCCTCAGTGTCGAAAACGCTTTCCCTCTTGTGGATGATATGATCTACTGCCCAGATGCAACATGAGAAATGGAAGACTTATTTCCCCAGCACCTGGGATCGCTGCTGGGGACCAGCCCTCTTTTTAACAAAATTACTCATTCTGAGTCACACCTGCTTTTAGGGACAGCCTGCAACACCCAAGATGGATCCACCTGATGATATAAATGGCCTGGCTCCCTCACTCCTACTTGGAAAAACTCTGAAGGAGCCACTTCAGTTCCAGAGCTCTTATGGGGTTGGCTGAGGCCCTTGTTTGGATTATATCATGGTTCAACTCCCTCTCCCCAATCCTGTGTCTTTCCCTTCCCAGAAGCATTCTCTAATGAAAGTCTCATATGCTAATCCCCATCTTAAAAATCTTTCTGGTAAACCCAACCTGCAACATCCCTCTATTCCAAGGTAATTCTACTCATCCTTTAAGAACTCAGCTCATAGGTCCCCACATCTAGAACCTCCCCCAACCATACCCATACCAATCACCCGTTTCTCACTGGGATAGTTTTCCCAGAACATCCTGCATCCTCCACTGTAGAAAGTCTCTCTTTCAATTTATCTACACATGTGGTTTTCTCCTGCATTGGACTGTGTGCTTTTTGTGCTGCCCAACTGATCTTCCCAGGGGCAGAGAGAAGAGCACTAAACTGCCTCAGAGATCTGAATTCCAGTCTCAGCTCGCTAGTTATCTTCTATGGGCCTTTGCCTCTCTGTGTGTCAGTCTGCATATAGTAAAATGGAACTGGTAATCTTCATTGTTTTTCCCTTACCCAACGGGTTTATATTTTTTAAGATTTTTTTAAAAATTTATTTGACAGAGAGAGAGAACAAGTAGGGGGAGCCGCAGGCAGAGGGAGAAGCAGGCTCCCTGCTGAGCACAGAGCCCAACGTGGGGCTCGATCCCAGGACCCTGGGATCATGACCTGAGCCGAAGGCAGACACTTAACCGACTGAGCCACCCAGGTGCCCCTACCCAAAGGGTTTAAAATTTATCAGTATAGTTGTGGTTGGGGAAAATCTAGGCAGGATCCCCTCAGGGGTGGTTAAATGTATCTCCTCTTAACAATGTCCATCTGTCCAGTTTTCTGCAGGGTTGACAGGAGAGCTGGATGCCTGCAAGGAGATAGGTGTAGAATACCAGTCTTGGTTCTGAGACCAGGGATATGCTGATGTCAGCATAGGCCAGGGATTTGCTGGGGCAGCCCCAGTTCAATTTTTTAATCCAGATGCTTAAATAAGCATATTTAAATATCATTAACCCTGGGACACCTGGGTGGCTCAGTTAAGCGACTGCCTTCGGCTCAGGTCATGGTATCAGGGTCCTGGGATCCAGCCCCGCACCGGGCTCTCTGCTTAGCAGGGAGCCTGCTTCTCCCTCTGTCTGCCACTCCCCCTGCTTGTGCATATGTGCGCTCTCTCTCTGACAAATAAATAAATAAAATCTTAAAAAAAATATCATCAACACTTACGCTTTTGTAGCACTTTGCGTATAAACAAATTGCTAAGCCACAAAAAGAAATCCTTTTTTAGACCACATGAGCCAGTTTGGGTTTGGAACAATTATTATTCTGTATATGCACTAAATCAAAGTAGTAAATTGGTATTTATAAACTGCCCTTTATACATTTGATTAGTGTGACTTCATTCCCCGGACACCTGGGTAATGAAATTTACTTGCTAAGTTTTCAAGGCTGAGGATCGGACTTCTTGGAGTGCTCAGCAATGTGAAGTCACTTCCTTAAAGCCCAGTTTAAAATGATGATATGCAGTAACAATTTATTGAGCCCCTCGTGTGCGTCAGACCCTGTTTTGGCCATTACTTTTATCTTTATAATGACCCTGCAAAGTACCCGTCCTTTTGTACAGACGATAAAATTGGGGCTTTATAGTGCTTACTGGTGTGTTGGGGTCAGCTCAGACAAGCTATACAGAGCCAACAGTGAAAATCTCTTCCTCATTTTGCATTCAGTGACAACCTGTTGGTCACTGAAAATTGGCCATGGTGGGAGTATTTACATCACAAAAATTGGCACGTGTTACAAATTAGGGCCTTATTTATTTATTTCAGAGTCTGTTGTTCAAAATTTACCAGCATACCACAGTTTCAGCTACTAACCAGCTGAGCCAAGATTCAAACTCTGATCTCTTAATCTCCGAAATCTTGTCTGTTCCCCTTTGATAGGAGAAGCCCCAGGCTGATGTCAGTACCCAGAGCTTTCCTAAAGCTCGGGAGCTCTCTGTTCTGAAGACCAACCCCCTCCTATCCCCAACCAAATTCTGCTAACTCAAGATAGGAAGCAAAGTTCAGCCAGGGGCTAACCAGAATTCCCTTTATTCTCTTTCAACTCTTGCCAGAGAGGAAAGTCACATGGTGAAACTGCTAGAGAAAAACCAAAGAGACAAAGACAGTTTGGCTCCTGTTTGTTCAGTGTCCGTGAATAAATGCGAAGGAGGAACTGAATAAACCATTAGTTCCCAAATGCTTTGAGGAGCCCCACCGCAGAGCTCTTTTACTTGGCAGTGAGGAGAAGGACCCCATGGAAGCCTTGATCAACACCATCTAATTAAGGAGATGGAGTTTAATCTCTGGGCCAAGTGTCCATCTGCTTCCCATTTCCAATCATTTAGCACACATTAGAAGTGAACACAAGATAAACTCAGGACAGCCTCAGCAATGCATTACATTTCCAAGACAGGAGAAAGACAAGAAACTAAGGGTGGAGTGGTCAGAGCACAAGGCAACGTTCTGCTCATGCCCAACACAGAGACCCCCATCTGTGAGCCCTGCAAAATCAGCTGCTTTCTCAGTCAGCAAAGATTGTGTGCAATTGCCCGCTTAGGAACAATCCAGGTCAAGAGCTTGAGTTCTTGAAAGACATCGGAGGAAGGCTCTCTTTCCAACAAAGGTAGAAAAAGTGTGGTCCAGGGGATGCGCTTACCTCTGGGAGACTCACAGTGAGCACATTAACAACATTAATGACCGCAAACCAGGATTTTTAAAGAGTGTTAGTCATGGAGTGGAAGAGAAAACAGCCTTATCCCCATGCATACCTGCCCCGATACGGTTTATCCTTATCCCTTAGATGAAATCTAGAGCACACTCTCTGGGTTTCAGGTCATTTGCAGGGAAGGAAAAGTCCCGTGGCCACTGAATATTATGAAATAACACTCTCTCAGTAACTAAAATTTCCAGCCTGTGTAAGAGTAAAAAATCCAATTCATTAAAAAATAATGTAAAACACCTCCTTCTCCCAGCTTGCCATGGCTTCAGTGGAAAGGAACATGGGGTGAGAGAGGCTGGGCGCCTGCTTTCTTCTTGATTCTGCCCTCTCCCCACCTGACTCTCAGTTTGCTAGGTGTGATTTCTGTTCCCCTCCAGTGCTGAGGTGGTGAGGAGTACCTGACAGGTACAGCCATGACTGGTACCGTGGTCTCTGGGTTTGGCAGAGGTTTAGCACTCTTGCCTTATTGCACTGGTGAAAACCTCCAGTAAGTACAGTATCGATCATTTCTGTTCTCAGGTCTTCTTTTGTTTTGTTTTGTTGTAGATGGATCAGATTTATCATAGCATGCTACGAGTTTTTACTATGAATGACTGTTGAATTTCATAATTTTTTTCTACATCCACTGTGATGATCAAATGATCTTTTTTCTTTATTCTGTTGCTCTGTGGATTGGCTTCTCAAATGTTAACACGTGCATCCCTGGGTTAAACTGCACTTAGTTCTGACGTATTATCCTTTCCCAAATCATTGGATTTTAATGATATTATGTGTAGGATTTTGCATCTGTAGTTTTGAGGAACACTGACTTACCATTTTCTTTCTTGCAATGTCTCTATCAGGTTTTACTATCGTGATCATGTTGTCTTCATAAAATGACTTGAGAAGCACATACTCTTTTTCTATTCTCTGGAAGAATTTATTTAAGATTGGTGTTATTTCTTCTTTAAATGTTTGGTTGACTTCACCAGTGAAAACATTAATCCTCGAGATTTCTTTGTGGGGTGAATTAATTTCTTTTGGATTGCACTGCGGGTTCTTTGGAGATCCCTCCATCACTGGGAACCATTCACCTATGAATCTCTGCTTTAGGGGACTCACTCTCTGGTCGGCTGCCTAAGACCCCTTCATTACTCTGCTTTTGCCACCATAACAAAACATCATAGACTGGCTGGCTTAAACAACAGACATTTATTTTATCACAGTTCTGGAGGCTGGAAGTCCAAGCAGCAGCAGAATTGGCTTCTGGTGAGGGCACTTTTTTTTGTTTGCAGACAACCACCTTCTCACTCTGTCCTCAAATGGCCTTTCCTCTGTGCATGCAAAAGGGGAAGAGAGAGAGAGAGAGAGAGAGAGAGGGAGGGAGCTCTGGTTTCCTCCCCTTCTTATAAGGACACCAGTCCTATCAGATTGGGGCCCCTGTCCTATGACCTCATTTAACCTTAATTACCTCTTCAAGTCCCTATCTCCAAATATTGTCATGTTGAGCTTCAACACATGAATTTTAGGGGACATAGTTCAGTCTGTAACAACCCTAATTCTCTGTGACCCCCTCCACACAGACTCTCCCCTGTTCTTTTCCCATTGCTTTTTCAGGTGGCCCCATGGGCAAGGCCCCTCTGAGATAGTTCTGCTCTCTTTCCCTCTCTCTACTTACCTCTGGTGCACAGAAGATATTTTCATCTTAAATCCTTCAGTAGAGGGAATGAAAATTACTCTCAGACTAGGGTCTCTACATTGTCATCCCATGATGCTTCAGCTAGCCTCCAGGCCCTTCAGATTTCTTGTCTCTGAGCCAAACACCCCAGACTGCTTTCTAGAGGGCTCATGTGAAGTCTTCAGCAGGCCCCCTTGATGCCTTTATTGGTAGGCTTGAGGTAAGGCATGTGCCTCCCTCGTGGATGGTGTAAAGAGGCTCCCTGACCACTTACCTCCAAGGAAAAGCCTCTCTCCAATTCCCATCTTTGCTTTTGTTCTCCTCAACTTCTTGATAGGCTGGAGATGAGCAGTGGGCTGAGTCATAAAAGTGGCTTTCATATACCTCCACTTTCTGTTTTGCTTAAGTGATCTAGCCAGTACCTGCATGCTAAAGCCTCTACTGACACTGCGACTGTCCCATTTTAACCTCTTGTTACATGAGCTAGCACGCTGTACAAGTCTCTCTATTAACAAACTGTAGAGATAAGGACTCAGAGATTGACAAACATTTTGTTCTGAGACAATTTCCAAGTCATGCACAACTATTTTAAAATGGCACTTTCCACAATTTAAGTCTGTCATCATCCTTCTTTTGGATCATTTCCTGGGCTTATCTCAGGACTTAGAAAATGCCACCAGCACTCAGAGTAGATACTTTTGCATCTTATGGTGTCAGACTCAGGCTCCATTTCACTCTCCTTTTGAGAGTGAAGACTTAGGAGACCACATTCCTGCTGTGGCATCTCTTGTCAGACCCCAGGTCCATGGCTCCAGTGTTGGAATGAGACCTCAGTTTTCCACCAGGCCTTTTCCTCATGGCTGCCCAAGAGGCTTTGGCCACTGTGCAGAGGAAGTAGATGGAAGCTGCAAGGAGTAAACGCAGTCATTCTTAAAAAAAAAAAAAAATCACAGAACAGAAATGAGACTCTAACCTGAGTTTGGAGAGCAGGAGAAAGGCATTGCAGTATTAGGCTGCGGGAAGGGAGGGACCTCCATGGCTGGGCACGAAAGGCAATATCTGGTAGAGGATTGAGGACCACTCTAATGACTTCATTTTAATTTGATTACTGCTGTAAAGACCTGTCTCCAAATCAGAGCCCATTCTAAGGTAGTGGAGAGGAGGGTGGTGTTAGGACTTCAAAATATGAATTTTGGTGGCATGGGGTCACAATTCAACTCATAAATAACAGATGCCATCAGTCAAGTCTGCTGGCTTATCCTTGGGGCTCCAGCCTCAGATCACATGCCTTCATCTGTTCAAAGAGAGGACAGCAGGAAAACATGGGTCAGGCCGCTTGGCTCTACTCCCCCTTTTTGCTCCCAAAGACCCATATGACCTGGGCAAGTATCTTCTCTTTCAGCTTCTGCTTTGTCCTATAGAAAATCAAGGAACTGGATTAAAGTTTCTAAAGTTTTGACCTTCTGTGGTCCTAAAGAAAGCTGCGGGAGAGAGCCAGCATGGTGGCAGCCGGACCCCCCGGTAATCTGAGACACACTTTTGTTGGCGGGAGCACAGAATCACTGCTCCTGTCAAGGCAGAGACTTAAAGCCAGTTGACACCGGGTTGGGGTTAGTGTTTTTTGAGTACTAAGTAGATTTTCAGGTGGTCCAGCTCTCTTGGAAAACAAACTATATATTTTCCTCAGCTGCCTTTCTTCCTCTTGTAAGCGAATGAGAGGAGTAATGCAGAGAGGCTTTAGTTCTGGTCTTTGAGAGGGCAAGGGAGAATTAAACACAAGAGCTGGATCAATATCGCATCGTTCTGCTCAGAAGGACTTAGTATCACAGGGCATTAAAACTGGAACCCTCCATGTCACCTGGACCAAGGGCCTTATTTTATACCTAGAAGTACTGAGACCTAGAGAAGTTTAGTTAGTTCATCACTGTCACACACACTGTTAGTTAGAGGGGGCACCGGGATGGGGACCCAGCTGCTTGGGCATAATACCACACTCTCGTACTCTTGTGTCTGCGGAAATTAAGATTTGAGAAATCCTATCTGCTTTTTCAGTAAACAACGTTGGGAGTGTCTGTCCTCCTCACGAATCAATTCTCCCACTTTTCTTGAGGGTAGCAGCATGATGGTGGTGTGGGAGGTAGGGCAACCACACAGACCAACTGCATCATTTCCCCTGGAGACTGGGAATCAGAGTTAGCAATTCCAGTCCAGCCCGGTCTCCCCTTCAACCCTAAAGCTTTGCCATGGACATCTAACTGGCACACGAGGATGGTCTCTGGGGAAGAAGAGATGCGGACACAGAGAGCACACGCTCTGGTCCCCGGGGGCTTCCATATCCCAGTCTTGTCTTCTCTGACGCTTGGCTGTTCTCCTGTCCCTCAGGGTCTATAAAACACCTGCACCTCAATACAAAGCACCCTCCTCTATTTACCCCCTAAAACTTGTTTGAATTGAATTAGTGCTGTTGCTTGCCACCGATAATTTTAACTAACACGATTCCTTCTTATCTTAGGAAAAATTGAACACATTTTCTTTCCATTTAGTTTAATGAACATGCTACCACAGAGGACCAGCATACCCTCCAATTCCTTCCAGAAACCAACATAATAGCTGTCTCTATCTCTCCCATCCAATCAATTGCTTAATCTGGACAGTTTTTCTTTTAGCAGGACTCACAAATCCATTGCTCTTATCTATAAATGCCGCCACTAAATTTAGGACCTTATTTCTTCATGCTGGTCATTTGCAATAATCTCCCAACTGGTTGTCTCTACACTCGTTTCTCATTTTTAATTCATTGTCCCTTCAGATGTGACTCCTGATGCTTGCGTTATGACTCTGCCTAGTGTTAAAGTGGCAGGATCTGAGCTGCTGAGCAGGAGAGTGCCTGGAAGGGGCTAAACCAGTATATTACTTTTCTATTTCTATATAACAAATTACTAGACATTTAGCAGCTCAAGCAACATCTGTTTATATTTTTTAAAAGATTATTTGAGAGGGAGAGAGAGAGAGAGCACAAGCAGTGGGGAGCAGCAGAGAGAGAAACAGGCTCCCCACTGAGCAAGGAGCCCAACTCAGGACTCAATCCCAGGATGCTGGAATCATGACCTGAGCCGAAGGCAGACGCTTAACTGACTGAGCCACCCAGGTGCCCCACAACTTCTGTTTATAATCTCACAGTTCTGTAGGTTAGAAGTCAGGTCAGCTTGTCTGGGTTTTATGCTCAGGGTCTCTGAAGGCCAAAATCAAGATGTTGGCTAGACTAGGCTCTTACCTGGAGGCTCTGGGAAGAATCTCTTAAGCCTTTGAGGTAGTAGGCAGACCTCAGCGCCTTGTAGTTTTAGGCCTGCATCCTCCATTTCCTTGCTGGCTGTCAGCTGGAGGTCATTCTGCTCCCAGAGGCCACCCACATCCCCTCTCACATGGCTTCTCCATGTTCCAAGCAGGACTGGGGCTTTGAGTCCTTCTCATGCTTCAGTCTCCTGCTCTTCTGCCACCAGCTGGAGAAAATTCTGCTTTTAAAGGGCTCATGTGACCAGATTAGGCCTACCCTTTCTGAGGAGTAACCTTAATCACATCTGCAGGATCCCTTTTGCCCTGTGACCTGGCATAATCATGGGAATGGCATCTCATATACTCCCAGGTTCCACCCACACTCAGGTGGAAAGATTACACAAGGCTGAGGTCACTGTGGTCATTTTTCCAATTCTGCCTGCCACAGACAGGGTCATGGGAGGATTGCTCCCCTAAGCAGTTTGGGAGAGGTCAGCTGTGTGAATTCGGGCATAGTGCAATGGACCAAAGCGTGGTCAATGACCTCAGTCCAAGGGAGGTCAAGGTAACAGCGAAGCCCGAATTAAAGACAACGGCTGGACTTTTTGTGTCATGTGTTTGTGGGGTGGGAGAAGCAGTGTGAGGAAGGGGAATAGTGAGAGGGAGACGTGCAATGAGGGGAAGGTGCTGGAAAGTTATTTGTTATTATATAAGCCTTATGAACAAAGAAAGAATATTTCTTTTCTTGGGGCGGCCAGAGCTCCAGTAGTCACTCTTCTGACCAAATTTTTCAAAAGCTTCCCCATATTCCTCAGTCTGGCATTCAAAGGCTTCCCTTTATAGGCTCCCGTGTACATTCCAGCCTTATTTTTTACACGTCCTTCTCCGGCTGACATTTCAGTAGAACTGGTATATAGTGAAATTGGTAACATAGTGGAGGATCGATGCCAGCCAATTGTTCCTGAGAGAAGTCACAGGTGGTGCTGTTACGTTGCTGAATTTAAGGTGATGTGGGGTCTACCTCCAGTCTTTAGCACCTCAAAAGCAGACCATGCCTGGGGTAGTGCTCACATAGGCACTAATAATATTTGCCATCCATGTTTGCCTTGCTGTGTGCACTGATCTTTCCCTCTCCTCCACTGGCTAATCTCTGTTACATCTGGAGTTTCTAGCCTCTCAGCTTTGGCTCAGGAGGGACTGCTTCCTAAGCCCTTGTGAATGCTTCCCCTTTCCAGCAATTGTGGCAGAACCAGCTGCCAATCCAATCAGAGGGGGCCCAGGGCAAAAGTGAAAATGTGGGGCTCTCGTCCAGAGATGATGAATTCCAACATGGCGGCTGAAGAGCATTGAAACGAGCCCGGGCACTGTAACTGCACAGGTCCACGCTTCAGTAGGCTACCCTCACTCGAAGGCCCTCCCATTTTGCCTCACTCCTGTTTACATCCACATAGTAGATTCTCAAAAACTGCTGTTGAATGACAACGAAGGATTTCAAATGTGCTGGCAGGATATGCCATGCTGGAAAGTTCTCTAAATCCATAAACATTGCATTGAAATAAGTCTTGGGCTTAATGCATGCTATAAAAATGCTAACAGACATGTTTGATGCCTTAAGCAGCAAATGGCAGCTCGGTTTAGGAAACGTCATCCAGACTCTGAGATACGGAATCGTAATGGGAAAAGTCATGGAAGGGACGAACAGTGGGAAGGTGAGAGACCTCTTTTTGGAGCTACAGTACTTCCTTAGGAAGTGGGGCGGAGTGAAAAAGTGAAAAAGTAGAGCCCACCTAGCAAACATCAGGGCTTCTAGGCTTTGGGGACATGCTTTTCCCACGGGTACCAAAGGCATTCTCAAAAACACCTTGGAGTAGGGCTGGCACGGTGGGGCTGGGGCGGTGCAGGACTGGGGCAGGACAGAGGTACTGGCTTTAATACAACAGCTCTCTAATGAGCTTTAAGAATTAGCAAGGCCGCATTCTGCCTTCCCATCCTGGGCCTGACAGGCCGGTGAGAGTTATGAAATGGCCGCCGGCAGATGAATGGGGATTGTCTCTGCCATCTGTCTTCCAAATGATCCTGTAGGTACAGCTATTATTTCAGTCAGACACTGGCAGGCGGGCAATTGTTCACAGCCTCTGTGAAGAATAGCGGCTGTCAATTGTTTGGTGAGTGTTACGACTTCCCACAGACCCGTTTTTAGCTGGTGTGAGACATTAAAACATGGAGGGATACAGGACACCGGGAGCCGTGACTGACCAGGAACTTTCAGTGGGCTTTCCCCTCACTGGGGTCACTCTACCCCTCTCCCCGTATTTCCCCCTCCTGTACCTCCCCACGCCCCTCACCCCAAGCCTCTTCTCCCCACCCGTGTTTCTCCTCCTTTCTCTTTTTCCTTCTTCCTCTCACCAAACTACACACATATCTGTCGTGTCCGGGAGACTCTCCCGGCGTGAAGGGATGGGAGTGTTGAGGTAGACTGTGCCAAGGAGATAGGAGTCAAACCACTGCAGCTCTGGAATCCCTGGTGACATGACCCCAGGGAAGGAAGGATGCAAAGGGAGCTTAAAAAACACAGAGCAGAGAAGCCAACAAAAGACATACAGCATTAAATATTGTGTCAATCCTGGCTAATAAGGTGGCCGGAAGATAAGAGAAACCAGTTAGAAGACATGGGATCTCATCACAATCCCCCAAAGGCAGGTGTGAACTTGAGCGCACTCAATAGCTCCCTGTCATTTATCAGCATTTGAATTTTCATCCCGTTATGGACCAATGTGACTGACACGATTCAGCCCACACCGGGTTTGACATGACAGATGGATTCAGAGCCCCACACACCTTGCTCACCTCCGCACTCCAAAGCACGCATCCTGCACACACAGCGTTGAGTAGGGCCCCACTGTCCACCCCCACCTCTGGAGCAGGAGATGTCTTTGAAAGGATAGCACCTTGAGAGTCAAGTTCAAGGGTAGAATCAAATGACTGCTCATTAAGCTTGATAAATATGGCAAAGAAACTCAGAATTCACTGTTTTCCCCCTTCAACCCCTCTCACATTCCTACATTCTTCCTCTGCAGCTCCTCCCTCCCTCCCCTCCCCCAGCTCTCCACCCACTACTTCCACCCTGCTCTCAAGCAAGGCTGAAAAACAAAACAACAAAACCCTTCCGGGCTGCTCCAGCTGCAGGAGGTGCCATACGTTAAAATCGCTGTATCTCATTAGACAACGTAATCTAAGTTTCCTTACTTCGACTTTGCCAGGAAGAGAATCTGAGGATGGTATGTCAAGGATTACTGAGAGGTCTGTTGTGCTCACAGTCAATCAACTGAAACAGTGTTCTCTATTGGGATTTTGGTGGCATAAAAAGTTGGGGATCATTTTTTTTAAGATTTTATTTATTTATTTGACAGAGAGAACACAAGTAGGCAGAGCAGCAGGCAGAGGGAGAGGGAGAAGCAGGCTCTCCGCTGAGCAGGGAGCCCCATGTGGGGCTCGATCCCAGGACCCCAGGATCATAACCTGAGCCAAAGGTGGAGGCTTAACTGACTGAGCCACCCAGGCACCCTGGGGATCATTTTTTATTTTGTGTTGAGATTCAGGCTCAAAGTTGTTCCTAACACGGTGCAGTGTGTCCAGTCAGTTTCCTGGCTGATGCCCTGCCATTTGAGTGACCATGTGGTTTCTCAGGAATCTGAGTACTCTTGAATGAAAGGAGTCCCAATTCATGGTTATAGCAGGACAGCACATATAAACCTGGCTGTCCCAGACAAACCTAGGGGCACAGTCACCTGCCTGTCCCTGGAAAGACTGAATAGGAGGGGGAAGGATTTCATTGCAAGCAAGCAGATGGCCTCTTCTGAGAGTGTCTAAAGCCTTAGCTGAACTTGTCACCCATTTGGCATCTAGAGGATTCTGCCTTGAAGTTTTATTTCTCCTTATATGAATCTGTCCTTGAGGTTGGGGTCTGGATTCCACTTTCCATTCTCCCAGAAGAGATCCACAGGTCTCAGTAAATGCTTGTTGAGCAAGACCAAGTTTGGCATGAGAGGAGCTATTGGCTGTCCCTGGTTTCAGAGGGACACACCTACCCCCCCCCACCTTGGGGGAGAGCCCTCTTGAGAGCTTCAATGCCTCACCTTGGGGGTTAAGGACTGTGATGGTTTCCTGTCGTTTCTGTAACAAATGACCACAAACTTAGTGGCTTGAACCAACACAAATTTATTATTTTACAGTTCTAGAGCTCAAAAGTCCTCAAACCAAGGTGTTGGCAAGGCTGCATTTGTTCTGGAAGCTCTAGGGCAGAAACTGTCTCCTTGCCTTTTTAACTTCTAGGGGCCAGCTGCATTCCTGGATTTGTGGCCCCTTCCTCCATCTTCGAGGCCAGTAGTCGAGCATCTTGCAACCTCTCTGCTTTCCTCCCACCCAGCCTTTTCTGACTCTAACCCACCTGCCTCTTTCTTATAAGGACCCTTACGATTACACTGGGCTCATTGGATAATCCAGGATAATCTCCCCATCAGGAGAGTCCTAATTTTAGCAAAGTAGGAAATTAGATCATTTGCTGGAAGTAAAGGATTTTGCCAAGAGACTTGGGGAGAGTGGGAGAGGTCTGGGAGCAGTGTGCCAAGATGCCTGAGATGATATGTCAGGCAGGGTTCAGGCAGAGGAAGAGACCGTGCCAGTTATTGGAATGGGAGGAATTTAACATAGATCATTGTTAATTAGTAAACAGGAGTGAACTCCTAAGGGGTCCAGAAGCAGCAGGTGCAATGCTGAGGGTCCAGCTCCAGCATCACAAAGCAGGGGGTGGGGGGAAAAGAGGGGACTTAGAACCGAGGCGCAATAAATCCATAATGGCATAGATGAATAACAGAGTTGCCCAATACAATAGATAAAGAATTTTATAGTTTAGAAAACCATGATCCCTTCTTTCCTTTCCAGATTCAGAATCCATAGAAAAGGCAAGCACTGAAGAGTTCGGGAAAACGCATTGCTGCCAAAGCTGGATGGGGCAGTGGGAACGCCTGCCAATATCAAATGTAAGACAGGCACAGAAAAGGCAGTGACTGTTTACTGTATTTGTTTGTTTGCTTGAGGGAGTCTACATAGACCCTGACTACTGCTTTCCACCTTCCAGAGGCTGGAGAAACTCCCTGTAATTCAGCTGCTCCAATGGGGGTAGCTAGGAGGTAGCACAGAGTGGATGCCCGAGGCTGGTGGCTGCAGAGCGAGGACCTGAGGGGCTCTGTGGGAGGGAAGCGCA